TATTCCTAATACATATTGTCCATGTGTTGATTTTGCCTCGTTCTAGACTTATTGTGAGTATTCCTACACTATAACAAGCAACTTACTATCTAATTGGTGATCAAGCAATCAAATAGTTCAATGGGAATGCAAAACCAATCAAGAAAAATCAAGAAGTACTAAATTAATTGTCTCGTATTAAAACAAATAAACAATATGGTTCATCATTCATTGTATTATCCAATACAATGAAAAATTAGCCTAACATTCTTATAATTAAATTACACAAGAATAATTGGAAAAATATCACCCGGAAATAAGAAAGATGGAAGTAGGAAAAATCCACGTTCTTGATGTGAATCTTGAATCCGGATGAAGAATCTTCAATATCCTATGCAATTCGCCTTGATTCCACGTTATTAGTCATGTTCTTCGCCTCCAAAATATGTATAATATAGAGATTTTTAGGTCTAGGGAGGTTCTCCATATGTATTCTGCTGTTCTCTCTTTATAGGAGCCGAAAATTGGTTGAAAATCACGTCCAAATTGGTTTCCAAAAGAGTTCTAATCGAATAAGGAAAGTTGTCTTTGCGCGCGGATTTTTTGTCTCTACATAGCAGTCCGTATTTTAATCATAACTTTCTCTTCTGATATCCGATTGATGTGATTCAAATTGCGTTGGAAAGATAACTTCAAGGGCTACAACTTTGATTAAGATAGAGTTTTTCCAATTCGGACGTTTACTATGCCCAAAAGGGGTATCAATGTTCGGCTAAAAATCTGGAATATATCTTGAGCAATTGGAAATTGATTTTGATAATACTTTGATCATGTTCCATTCTTTTTTGAATTCTAATTTCAATCCAATTGTCTCCTAGCAATCTTTAAAGTATCTTCTTAAGTATTTGCAATTTGATCCTCGAACTTTGGATTTTACCATTTTTCACTACATTTTGCTTCTTTTCTCCAATTCTTCATCAAATATAAAGTTTTACCTACACAATGCAATATAACATAAATTATGTAAAATTTTGCCAAAAGAACAATAAAATTCTATATTTTCAAGCCCCGAATAAGTGTAGAAAATACACTTGTCATTGACCAAGGAATTAATTTTGACCGAGTTAATTTTGATTGAGGTCTTAATTTTCAGGGGCTAGAGGCTTTCAACAAAGATGGCCACGAGGGTTCAACTATTCATCTGAAGAAGATAATCTCCGACCAAGGGCTAATAATAGTTGTACAAATGTTCAAGAATTTAAGATGAAGATGGACTTGCCAAGTTTTGATGGCCGATTAAACATTGAAGATTTTTTAGATTGGATCTATACTGTAGAATTTTTTTCGACTATTTGAATATCTCAGAACAAAACTAAGTTAAACTTGTAGCATATAAATTAAAAGGTGGAGCTTCGGCATGGTGAGAACTTCAATTTAATTGTCAACGATAACGAAAACATGTGCTAACCTGACCAAGATGAAACGGTTATTGCAAAGACAATTTCTCCCCCCATATTATGAGCAATTTTTGTACCAACAATATCAGAATTGTTGACATAACAACCGAACAGTAAACGAGTACACGGAGGAATTCTATTGATTGAATGCCGAGTTAATTTGTTTGAAACAGAAGCTCAATTAATTGCTCGATATATAGGAGGCCTAAAATTAGTCATTCAAGATCGACTAGATCTTCAAGAGGTTTGGACCATGACAGATGCGTCAGCCCAAGATGAAACGGTTATTGCAAAGACGATTTCTCCCCCTAGATTATGAGCAATTTTTGTACCAGCAATATCAGAATTGTCGACAGAACAATCGAACAGTAAACTAGTACACAGAGGAATTCTATCGTTTAAATGCTCGAGTTAATTTGTCTGAAACATAAGCTCAATTAATTACTCGATATATAGGAGGCCTAAATTAGTCATTCAAGATCGACTAACTCTTCAGGAGGTTTGGACCATGACAGATGCAACCAATTTAGTAATGAAAGTGGAAAATCAAATGAATAAGACCACAGCTCGTACTCAAGGTAATTTTTGGCGATGAAGTCAAGAAGCTTATTTTACCCCAAAGGGTGCAACGACCCCATGCAACAACAATAACAGTAAGGATATCATTCCAATACAGAATTCGGTGCAAAATCAAAGTGGAACTTCAGCTCCGGTCGGTGTCAACCAAAATAGAACCCAAGTACAACAATGAAACAATAATGACCCTTATGCGTGTCCTAATCTTGGAAAGTGTTTTTGGTGCAATCAACTGGGCCATCTTTCAAATAGCTCCCCAAATAGGCGATAAATTAACATTGTAGAAGAAGGCGAAAGTGATGAACAAAATTTTGAAGATGATGTTTATGAGGGTAATAATGTTGCAGATGCGGATATAGGGGAAGAGTTGGCGTGCATTGTCCAACGCTTTTTACATGCACCAAAAAAGCCCGATAACTCGCAACGACGTAGCATCTTTAGGACTCGGTGCACTATTCGTAGTAAGGTATGCAACGTGATTATTGACAGCGGTAATAGTGAGAACGTTGTTTCCAAAGCAGCGGTAAAAGCTCTAAATCTGAAGACCGAGAGACACCTTTCTCCATACAAGATTGCATGGATTAAAAAAGGCCCAGAAGTTCAAGTTCTAGAGATATGTAAAGTTCATTTCTCGATTGGGAAATATTACAAAAATGAGATCATATGCGACGTGGTGGATATGGATGCTTGTCATATTTTATTGGGTTGTCCATAGCACTATGATGTCTATGCCACTTAAGGGGTGGGATAACACTTTCATATTTTGGTGGTTTGATAAGATCGTTTTAGTACCACAATCTCAACTTTGGAAAACAACTCTGCTATCAAGGAAGAGAAACCACCCTACCAATATATCGGACCTAGAATTCTTTGAACAAGAGCTGCACACTATATTAGCATTAGTAGTTAAAAGTCAATCAGAAGCGACTATACAGATTCCCCCCAATGTTCAAAAGTTACTTGTTGATTTTGCTGATATAGCACCTAGCGAGTTACCAAACGAGTTGCCCCCTTTCTGAAACATTCAACATCATATTGATTTGGCACCTGGAGCTAGTTTACCTAACTTACTACATTATTGCATGATATCTTTGAATACTTTCTTTCTTCAAGATGAGTTTTCCTTAGAACCGCAAAAAACTCGAGGACGAGTTTTATTAAAGCGGATGTGATTGATGTAGTACATTACAACTGCAATTAATTATTTTATTTTATCTAGGAGTTTGTCTTTTTTAATTATCTTTTCGAATTTCCTTTTCTAGTTGTAATAGGTTTTATTCTTAAATTTTGTTTAGATTAGGATTAGTTTATTTCCTTTTAGAATTTAGTTTCTTTATTTTGGTTTCCTTTTTATTAATAGGATTAGAGAATAATTTTGCCTATAAATATAGGGGTATTGTACACTTTCATAACATCTATTATTATTCAATCAATACAAAGCAAGTTATTCTAATATAGTTCTTTCATTACAATTCTTATTACAAGATTTCATGACGCTTCCGCACCACAAACTCAATAATTAAATTTATAGTAAATATCTAATTCCTGAAACTGATTATTTTATTTTATTTTCTCAAGGGTGTTAAATGTTATTTTCCGTTCAAAATTCTCTTTCCCTGAAAATGTTTCTTCAGTTGAATTCGAGGACTGCAGGATTAGGATAATAGGAATTTTAAGAAATCACTTCCAAAAGAGTTTTGGATGACTGGATATTGTTTTATCAAAATGCAAAGATTGTCAGTAAATATAATTGAATTAGAATTTCTGGAGTTCCAAATATATGGGGGAAGAAACTTTAGATGTAATGATTGAATGTACCAAAGTAAATATGGATACAGTCAACTAATCATTATAGTTTTTAATAAGGCTACAGTTTCTAGATGGCCATGACCCATTTTTAGTGCTCAAAACTAAAGCTACTTATCAGAGACAGAGAACAAGAGGAAAGGAATATAGAGAGATGAACAGAGTGAGAAAACTAGTGACTGTTGAAAGTAATAAATTCTGGATTTAATGTTTATTTATTTATTATTGTTGACGCTTTGTAGGGCTGTAATGTATTTATTTATTTATTGTTGTTGACGCTTCGTAGGGCTGTAATGTTTTCCATTTAATCTTCTTCTTGATTATTAATGCAGTTTACGAGTGTCAATGGACGGTTATATTGATGCTTTTGATCCTATGAAGTCAATTTTACCAGCTGGAATTTTCACAAATCGGGTTGAGGTCAGTATTGATAGATTATTTTTACTTGTTTGAAATTTAGAACTTGTACCACATATGTTTTCAAAGGTTGGCAATACTTTCTCATCATAAAGCATTTTTACAATATCAGTTTGTCACCTCGGGACATGATGATTTCACCCAACATCACATAGCCATAGTGGATTCCACTTCCAATATATGACGACTGGCGTTTCTAGTTCTTTGTGGCGGACTTTCTTAGCTATGTTATAATTGATTAAAGAACCGTCATTTGAACTACAAGACTTAGTACATCCGTGTCTATGATTCCCATTCTCAGTCTGCCAATGTCTAGGTTGGGATTCAAGGAGTTTTTCTGCATGTTCTATTATTAGTTTACAATTTAGACCACAGAGAGAAGGTTTTATGAGGAGGATCAGTAATTTTAAGACAACAGAAAGGGGAAAGAGTTCCATGGCGATTTTAGGCGTGGTTAATTCTTTTGCATTTGACTAAAGTTCCTTCTTTAAATTGTAAAATTAAAAGATATGGATTTGAACATCTTTGGGCTTGAGAGTCTTAAATGCTAAACTGCCTATGCTTTATGGTTCTGAGTGTTGAACTGTTAGAGTTCACGATGGAATGTAGAGGAAATGACGATGCTAAGATGGAGGTGGTCATATTAAAATTGATAAACTAAGAATTGAGAATATACGTGAATAAGTGGAAGGTGGCATTGATTGAGAACAAGTTATGGGAAGGATGACTTAAGTGGTTGGCTCATATTTTGCATCGACCTAAAGAGACCACATTAATGAGAATGACATGATTTCGGTAAAGAAAGTTAGAAGAGGAAGGACTAGACATCTACCAACTTGGCCTATGGCCTAACAAGAAGAAAGAATCTTTATGATAGTTTTTGTGTAAGCATGACAGATAAATGTGCTAACTATCGGCAGGTTCATTGTGCTAATGCAAATAATCTTTGAGATATGTTTTTCCTTATGCTGTGTCCAGTGAACCTCTGAAAGATTACCTTCTAAGGTGTGAATATATTTGAAAAACAGGTATATTTCACTGGAGTGTGTCTCCCAGTAGACTTTGGTGACACATTTTGTTGAAAAGAAATAGGAGAGTCTTTATGCAGGTGGTGATGCCTTTAACTAAACTGAAAAGTTGTTTTCCCACATCTTTCTTGAGCCAAGAGTTAGTTCCTTACTCATCCGGTTCTTTCTTGGATGTTTTTGACAAACCTTATTGTAGAATTCTGATTCTAATCCCTTCTAGCGTAATCTTTGATTGTATTCTATATTAGTTAAAAGTTTATTTTTGGTAAACTAGCTTTTGGGAATTAATTGACATACTAGCTTTAGAATCAAGGAGGGTTATTCATCTTCTTTCTTCGCTTATCCTTGTTTGAATAGCGATTTTGTATCACACTCTATGCAAACCTTTTGTGCATAGGTTGCACCTCTTTCGTGCAATGGCCGATGTTAGTAGGTTTAACGTCACGTACTTAAAAATGTTTACGCTGCAAGTAGTGGACCATCCTTCAGTTGATTTTGTTTAATACTATGTGATTCCTTAATTTTTTTTTTTTTTTTTGGAATGTTTGCAGGAACTTGAATTTGAATGTGTTCCAGCTACCCTCATGGATCGAGTTACTAACTTTTTAAATGTAAGCAAGTTACTGTTTCTTTGATTTTTTCATGGGTTTGATCTCTCATCAGTGGTTCTCACAGGATACTAGGGAAGATCTCAGATGCTCAATGGCAAATGATGCTGCTTCTATCAAGAATGATAGTTTCCGTACCAATGATGACCCCAAGTGCACTGAGATGTTGAACTCCAATGAAGGAGAATTATTAATCCAGCTGCCAAAGGATATATCATATGACTTTCAAAGAAAAATCAGTTTTCCCAGACATGAGATGCAAGAGATGGCTTCTACTTCCTTCTGGGACAATAAATCATCATACAGATCACTTCTTGGTATGTTATAATAAGTGCATTCTTCTACCCTGCACAATACAATTTAGTTTTTGATATGTGAAATTGAACAAGTATTGCATCTTTTATGGTGAAACCTATGTACTCTGTAATAATTTAAAATCAACACAAGAATGAGAAAGAGAAGGAAATCTCTTGGATAGCATATTGTTGTTTCCTTGCATTCCCGTTACTTCTGCTACTTTCTACATTTTAAGTAAGAGTAATAAATGGACTCATCATAGGATGCTGGACAAATACATACAGCACAGACTGTCGAGGAGAGATCTAACACTTGTTGATAATTCTACCTGATCTTACGTACTCGATTGCAGCTAGGGCTGGGCGTGGGTTGGGTAGGATTGGTTTTGAGTCCAACCCAACATGTTCGGTTTGACAATAATTCAAACCAAAACCAACCCATTCACGGTTGAAATCTAACCCAATCCAAATCGACCAAACTTGGGTTGGTTTGGGTTGTGTTGATTGGTTTGGACTTGAGTCCAATTCAAGTTGGATAATTTTTTTATGGGCCCAATGGTTGTGGCCTTTTTCGTTGGATTTGAACAATTTTTTTAAAGTTAGATACCATTTCAATTTAGACCAATTTCAGTTACATTAAAAATAGTGATTTGAAAGGCTTTAAGTCAATTGAAATTGAATCAATGGTCCGTGGGATTAAGTTCCATTCCAATAGAACAATATAAATTAAAAATATTGTAAAACACGTTAAATAAATTATATCATGATCAAATTAAATACATATTAAATCAATCTAAATACATATTGAATACGTACATATTATACCTATTGAATAAAATGAATTCAACCTAAATACTAAAAATGTTAAATAATCCAAACTCAATACAAAGTCTTCTCCTTCAATCCAAATGTTTAGTCAAAAATCACATCAAAAAATCGATTCGAGAAGTCGAGGCACGGGCAACAATGAGAGGCAAAAGACACGTGAGACACACAAGAATTTTGATTATTAGATTTTATGTTTTTGGTTTTAAGTACTAATTTTCTTTTTAATATTTTTTAATTTATTGAGTTGGGTTGGTTGGGTTTGATTGGGTTTTAATAGATAACCCAGAACCTTACCCAATCTAAACTTTGATTTCCTAACTCGAACCCAACCCAATTGAACTAAAAAACCAATTCAAACCGATTGGTTTGGCTTGGATTGATCGGTTTAACTGGTTCGGATTGGTTTTTGCCCAGCCCTAATTGCAGCAAACATGGATATATAGTCTGCTTCAACAAATTATTTTGTAGGGCTGAGCATTTGAGTGAAGAATGTATTATGGTCTAAATTAATCTCTCCTTCAGATGCATTGAGAAATTCATGACTCATGCTGGAGATGCTTGGCAGATAATTCTGTAATGAATAACTTGTATGCTGGACTGATTCAAAGATTTTTTGTTTCTAAAGTTCAAATATGAAGCGTATTTTTCACGTTCCATAACTAAAATAAGAATAATACACGATCTTGCTATTTCCAAAGAAAAATGACAAATGTTGAAGTTATCTCTGGTGTTTTTGGTATGAAACAAGTAGGATGTAATAATCTAACAACCAACCTTTTCGCTCCAACACTCTTCGACTTCGTCATGAACTGTTAGCCCATCATGTGCGTAGGCTTCCCATAACAAACACACATATTTATATATATGAATACGTCAATCTTAGCATTAAGTTTCCTTCTAAGTGATTTCATGTTGTCAATGGGTCATATGAAGGGGGTGTGTATACGTGCATTTTGAGATCTTAATCCTGTGCACTCGTTCAGGATACATAGCAGCTCAATTTACGGAGAGGATGCATATCTACACATCTCTGACCTCAAAGATACTTGTGCATATATAATTCCCGTTATCCTTGAGGAAACATCAACTCTTTTCCTGTTTTTCCTTTTGTTTGGTGGTAAGGGCTGCAGTTATGAAACATTCAAATTTGTAATACTTATGTACTAGTAACACTTTGGATTTTGTATGTGAGTCAATGTATAAGGCATGAGATAGTGAGTCAACTAATGAGTCAAACTCCTTTGCATTTTTGTTGGTTTTGGTTAAATTGGATAGAATCTTTCATGCTAATTTTATTCAGGTAATTTAGGATTTGTAAGTGTGACAGGTACTGAATAGATGTTTCTAAAACTTGTTTTCTTGTTCTTGTTTCAATAAGGGGAGCAGCCTGGGACATGTAAGTCATATAGAACCTGTTAGCTTTCTTCTAAGTTTCTGAAAATTGTCTAGTTTTACCATTTAGATTCTGAAAGTGGGAATATTATCTTTGGCACGAGTCTTTTGACTGTGTGATTATTTTGATTTTGATATTAGAAGTTGATAGACTGGTTTGAAGTCAAAACTTGTTGCAGAATGGTATTTCCACCATTTCGATGAGATAAATCTATTCTCTATCATCCTGTGCACTCTGTGCTTGATAATGAAGCACAGTGGAAGATGCTTAATTTCTTGTCTCTGCCAACTGATATGAGCAACAGCAGTTAAACTTCCTGATTCGTGAAATGCAGATATAGAAAATGAAGATCAGCTTCTTGATAATTTGCTACTCTCAAGAAGCATGGCGACGGATAAGTTAAGAGCAAGCCGACAACAAATAATTCTTGTAGCATCACTTATTGATCGGATACCTAATCTTGCTGGATTAGCACGAACTTGTGAGGTCAGTTAGATTAATTTTGTATTTTGACACGTTTGTACACAACTTCATTGATATGGCTCCGTTTGAATCTTACTATTTTATTTGCAATTTCATTAATATGACAATCTTGACTAATATCAGGTATTTAGAGCAGCAGGACTAGCAGTTGCAGACAAAAGCATATTAAAGGACAAGCAGTTCCAACTCATCAGGTATTGATCATAATTCATTAATTTTTTTCTGAGTATTCCGTATTAATTAATGTTTCACATTTGTATGGATCTTTATACCATTCAGTGAATTATGATAGTAGATTATTTTGAAGGGTTGCATAGCCAATCTGATTCCTCCTGAAAATTTATCGCATATTTTCTAGTTATCCAAATTTACACAGTAGTTTTCATTTATTTTTATAGTTGTGTACTTCTCTGCTCAAAGATTGTGCAGCAAGCAGTGACAGATCCTGGATTCGTGCCCACAGATATTTGCCCAATCCCTCATCCATGGGCATTCTAAATTTATTGGCTTTTTACATGGTGGGGGGCCAACACAATTTATGCAATGGCCAGAACATCACTTCTGTATCTTTTCTGAAAAGAAGAAATTAAATGAAAAAACTGAATATGATATTATTTTTGTGACTGCAGTGAAAGAAAATATGTTTTACAAGATCTTTAAATTCAACAGCTAAAATAATTGAATAATGTCAAACAAATTCATGAAGTTAAGCAATCAGTGAATAGAGGACACCAAATGAATTTATTGGCTCTTTAAAATACGTATACTGAGAAACTAAGAAAGGATAGCAGGCTTAAATGTGGTATTTGTAGATGTTCATGTATTTGCCTAGATTGTCTTTTTCTTGACCTCGAGACTTTGTAATACTTTTGATAATGTTACTTTCAATATCAATTTCTGTGAGTCAACAGCAAAGAATGGACAGAAAGGAACCTACCCATTATTGATGGAACACAAAACTCTAGGATTTCTTTTTCGAACTTAACTAAATATATGCAGGATTAAAATAGTAGAGAAATTAAATATGAAACCTGAAAAACTGCCAGCACTATTTGCAGACTGCAATTTTGTACTTGTCAAAGTCTGCAGTACTGAACTACTGATGTACTTTTGACTCATTCCTATTAACTATTTTTGGTATTTCAGCGTAACAGCAGAAAAGTGGGTTCCAGTTGTGGAAGTCCCAGAGAGAAGTTTGAAAATTTTCTTGGAGAAGAAGAAGAAAGAGGGATTTGCTCTCTTTGGTCTAGAGCAAACTGCAAATAGCATACCACTGGACCGATGCGTTTTCCCTACAAAGACGGTAAGTTTTATTGAATCATATATCTTCAACTTCGCATGAACCCTAAAATGGAGCATGTACCCCTGACCTGAAATTACAGAGGCTTCCGATAATTTAACTCTATCGATAGTGGAAAGATGTGATGGTATACTACTATTTTCCAGAATTGAACTACTTTTGATTTTTTTTCTACTAGGAAATCTTGTCCTCTTCCTTCTTTATCTCCACCTCTGCACATGTTCTCCTTTTGCGAAAAATGCACTTGCATACACAAAGACAGACAAATGTAGTATATGCTTACACTATCGGGTCAATGACTCCAAATTATTCTAGCACATTTATTTTCAGGGTTAATGATAGATACTTGTCGATTCTGGCAGGTATTAGTCCTTGGCCGTGAAAAGGAGGGAATCCCTGTGGAGATAATCCACATGCTGGATGCTTGTGTTGAAATTCCACAGCTAGGAGTAGTTAGGTCACTCAACGTTCATGTCAGCGGTGCCATTGCCCTATGGGAATACACTAGGCAGCAAATTTCACATTGAATTCTATACTTCGAATGTGACTATTCTATTCAAGGGGAAGGAACAGTCTGTGACACCTCTCCACTTCACTGAGATTCTCAACATATAACTATAAATTCGACGTAAAATTTGAAATGTAGTACAGGTACAGACATTGGCATAGGAGGTATCTCTGTCATTTCCTGTTTCAGGGTCCTGGTTTTAGCACGATGTTTGGCTCTTTCTTATATGTGGGCGGACTGGTTGACGAGGAGATTGTACCATTTGAGCCATTTTCTTCCCAGAGATGAGAATGACAGCTAGTGTAGCAAGTATGGCTAAGCGATTGTAACATTTGATTTAACTAGCTTAAAATAAGTTACTTATAAGTTGCTTATTTTTCATACATTGTCTTTTATTAACAAAAAATATTTTTTAAGTGAAGCATCTTTTAAGTGTTGGAAATATTATATAGCATACGACTTATATAACAAAAATAAAACGAAGAGAAGGAAATGACAAACCGAATAAACGCTAAACAAAATTGCAGAAAATAGTAGATTGAGGTTAGAGTTCGACTCTATTTCCTTAAGACGATTTTGGCCTGCTACGGTGCTTACAGTTGACGCCAATCGCCTCTCAAGATACAACAATCTTTCACTTGCGGTGTAGAAGCACTCTAACAGCAAGAACGGCGAATCAGAAAATGTTTCGTACTCTCTCAATGAATGGAAAAATATTTTAGTTATGTAGAATGCAAGAAAAGAGAATTATGATTTTTGAATGAATGAAATTCGGAAATCAGGGGTCCTATTTATAGATTTCCAAAAGCTGCAGGTTAAGAGTTGAAACTCTTTGAAAGTTATTCTTCAATAGACAGAACTATTGATTTGTGTTCGTTTTAGTCCAAACAATTTCGAATAGATTAGAAAAGACACACCTTTTCACTTAAATCAATTTTCGAAAATAAAAATAAATTAAATAAATAATTTTAATTTATTTTGTCCAAAAAAATATAGGAACGACGCCCAACCCGACCCAACTCGTGCTAGTGCCGAGCCGGCCGGACGACCGCGGCGGCGCGCGCGTGTGGGCTTTGGACTAGTTTAGACGTTGTCTAAGACTTCCCCCTTTCAAAGACTATTGGTACCCCTTGGGACTCAAACCCATATCCAAACTTGAGGTATATAAATTGGTTGAAAATTCTTTCAACTTCCTATGTGGGATTAAGTTCCCACACTTGATTTTAAATTCCAGGATTTTTACTTTCAAGTTGCCAACTTCTAGCATTAATTTCTCATTCATCCGGAAATGGTTTTGTGAAATCAAATATATCACGAATATCTACGCGCGGAATAGAATGAGTTTGCCCATTGACCCACACAAAATGGATACCGGGTCCCACCCTGATTATTGGTCAAACTTGACCCATTTCCAACATTAAGTACGGACAAACATTGACTTGATTTTTACACAATAAATAAATAAAATGGCCGACTTCGGCTTTATTGCCGAAATGCTACATAACATTGTTTACCAAGTACAAATTATGCATCTCATCTCCTAACGTTTTGGATTTCTTATTTGGAACAAGTTGTACCAATCTTAACCACACGGTTTCGGTTCAAACAAGGAACACGTTGGCGTTATCACTAGGCCTGCATAACTATATACATTTAAGGTCACTGTACTTTGAATGATTTTTAATAGGGTTACTAAACTTTAATTTGTGTCAAATGGGTTACTGTACTTTAATTCTATTTCAATTTAGGCCGTTTTGTTCAATTCTTTCACATTGTTTAACATTATGTAGCGGTTACAAACTGCCATAAAAAATTTGACTTAGAAGAAGTGATACGATAGAAAAACTCATTTTAGGATTGTATAGAAGTATATAACTAAAAGTTAAGGTTTTTTGGGTCAAGTTATTTTGTGATGGTCATATAGGATGACCGTTAGCATTTAATGGCTCTATTAATGTCTGGTGGTAGACAATTTGATGGAATTGAATGAAGGCCAAATTGAAATAAAATTAAAGTATAATGATTCAGTCGATATAAATTGAAATGTGGTGACCTAATTGAAAATTGAGTCAAAGTACAATGACCCCAATCAGAATAACCCCATTTAATCTTTATTAACTAATAATTCGTCTACTTCAAATCTCCATACCACACTATATATATTTAAGAGCAACACCTTCAAATTTCACTCCCCGTTTCGCCCTACATATATAACGAACCAAAAAAAACAAAAAAAACTATATTTCAACTCCATGAATGCACTTTCTTGCTAAAGTGAATAGGTCATCTAGAATAAAGAAGATGGCAAGTCTTTCGACTCTCGTCCTTTGCTCTTTTTCAATAAAATTTCTTAGTTTTATCCCTTTTTACCCTCACATCATGATACTTTGGAATTTTAATTGTCTTAGATATCGTGCCATGGAAGGAAAATCGTGATAGTCGCTATATACATAGAGACGCTGAGGAGGACCCATCAACACCAACGTCGTTATGATCATTTCCCTCGAGTTACTCATGTTCATAATAATTCATACAATAGGAAAGCCGAGCTTCTTAAGTACACAAGACACCTTCGAGAATCCAATCATTCAGCTGGGGCATCCTCTATCACTTGCATGAAACACCCTCCCAAGGTTCAGGTACCATACTTTATGGATCGTAATCCTATCGAGTACTGTATTGTAGTGTCCTGTCCAACCTATTATTCATGCCAATACAAAAAAACTGTCAATTTGAGAAAATAATAGTATTAAATCATGGAGCAATGCCCTGTGTACAGGGCACTACTTCACAGGGGCTTGTAAGGCCCCTCACAAAGGGTGGGCTCCACCCTTTTTTTTCTTTTTCTTTTTTATATATATACTTACGGGGCCCGCCCCCTTTGTCAGGCCCCCGTGAAAGTAATGCATGTATTGCTTACTGTCAACGTATCATTTGACAGATTACTCATGCTGATAGAACTACAAGCAAAACAAGAAGTGGAAGAACTCCAACTTATGTAGGAAACTGGAAATTCTTATTACCTAACATTTTCGGATGCATGACGAAAGACTCAGAAACTAAGAAGATGACGACGACGACAAAGATGAAAGGAAATTTTATGTCAAAACTGTTTGCAACATTACGTAAAAATTGATTCACCTAAAATTTCGTACGCTGTTTTATTTAATTTCTGTCGTGCTTAATTGTATCAAATATATATTAATTTGCTTTCCTCTGGTTTTTGTTGGAAATGGTGGGTGTCAATTGGGTCAACTTTGACCACAATTTTAAGTGGGACCCGATGTTCGATTTATCGAAATTAATGTTCAATTAAATTCTACGTTCCGAGTAGTTGAGTGTAGAATATTTAATTGTGAAAAACCATTTCAATATGAATGAGAAATTCTGGTTGAAAGTTGAATAATAAATGAGAGGAATAAATAGAAAAGAATTGGAAAAATATTCCAATCCCACATAGGTTGCAAATACAACATTGAACTACTTAATAAACTTCAAGTTTGGAAATGAGTTTGGCCCCCCAAGAGGTACCCATAGTTTTTGAAAGTGGAGAGTCTTAGACAAGGTCTAGACTTATTCAAAGGCCACAAGCGCGCGCGCTGCCGTCCGACCGGCTCTGCTCGGGCTCGGGCTCGACTTATTCAAAGGCCACAAGCGCACGCGCTGCCGTCCGATCGGCTCTGCTCCTGCTCAAGCTCGGGCTCGGGCTCGGGATCGGGTCGGGGGTCGTGGGCTTGGGCCAGACCTGTGTCAATATTAATTTTTTGGATAAAATTTATTTAAATTTTTATCGGAATTCAATAAATTCCATCTCTTTGACAGTATATTAACCGTCCATCAATTTGCTAAAACTGTGCGTTAAGTGGGCGTGAGTGGAGAGTGGTATGGAAACTGCTCAACCGTCAACTCTCTCCTCTATTTAAATGGTCCTCAGGCTTTCATCTAGATACACGGAAAAATCACGAATTCATTATGCATACACTCTTCTTTTCGTTGTTCCGTTCTGCATTGGTCAACACAGAGTACTTCCAGTTCTGGTTCGTTGTCTTGTAGTCGAAGTGCTGCTTCTGCAATTGTCTGATCGTTGTATATTAGGAGACACTTTACCACATACCGTACGCACCGTGTGATGGGGTAAAAACGTTTTAAGGACAGAAAGCCTAATTCTCGCCTCGATCATCCTTATTCTGAATTCTGGTCTTGTTTATGCATTTTGTTCTTACTGTTTTGCAATTGTTAATCTNATTTTGTTCTTACTGTTTTGCAATTGTTAATCTGTTTTAGCAAGTCATCTTCTGAAAATTTTATTCTATGCAGACAAAGTAGCTAACAGTTTTCAACTTTTATTTCTTGACATTCTTGCCCCGAACTTTCTATTTTCTAGAGCTCAACATCCCTACTAACAGTTTCTATACGAAAACTACTTTTTAGTTTGACATGATCTTAAGCTAATAGCCATCCACCACTTGTACATCTCATAACATGGTACAATACAAAAATACACGACTAGATATCCGAATGTCAAATACACGGCAAGTCCCATACAAAGATGGAGAACGGTAATTCTCATCATTTGAGATGCTCTTAACATTGCCAATTTGGTAAGAATTACAACGAGATAATTAGGAAAGACAATTGCTACAGACTCACAGGTTCAACTTAGAAGTGCTCGATGTCTAATCTTGCCAAGTAGCTTGCCATTACTTAACGTAAAATGGTGTCTTCTCAAGTAACTTCTCAAGGATTTGTAGTAAGACAAAGTACTTTAAAAAAATTATTCAACATGTTCCTAATCAATTTCTCTATCTCAGAAATAGCATTTGACTTATCAAAATTCTTGTCAAAACGAATTGACTAGCTTTTCCTAATTTTTTTTTTTTTTTTTGCTAAAGTTCAAGTGAAACTGTTCTCATTTTGAATTTAACTCTTACTCTAACTTCTTAGCTTCAAGAAGAAGTAACTTATACGACAATAAAGATTATTAATTTTTTAACTTATTTACTTGTATGTTTGATTCTCATTAAAATTAGAATAATGCTTCTCTTACAGTTGCCTTCACATTAACTTTTACAGTTTTTTGTCATTTTA